GTAAAAACTTTCTCAGGTAAATCATGTACAAAATGTTTCTATTTACTAATAACGGTTTATCTTATAGTTTTCAACCGTTCACGTTTCATAGGGCTTATTCAAGAATTTATTGCTTCTTGCACTAATATTCTTCTTAGTTTTTATCTTCTGTGTGTACGAGTGCTTTTCAACGTTGTCTAAGATTCTGGGCGATTTTTATGAACTTTTTAATATCTGTAGAATCCTTTGCTTGCCCACCATTAACAAAGTGAAGAGCTGAAGAGCTGAAAAGTAACCACAGATCACAGAGTAACCTCTGTGATCTGTGTCGTACACTTCACCTAGTTGTCTTCATCTATGCACTTCACTTGCTTTGAATGCCTATATTTTCTGGAGAATCGAGTTTGTGTTAGAATATAGAATAATTAACCGATGAATAGTTTCTGTGAAAAACGGGCGTAATCGTAATGCAATCGCAGTCGAAGTTCTCTGAATAAGGCTTTTGATTTCCATTCAGAGTCAGTGTCAGTGTGGACATTAGGTGCTGGGAATACGAATCGAAATTATATTACGTTTTGCTCTTTCGTACAGTTTTCGAAGCATAATGTCATAGCAATAAGCTATTGAGGGAAACTGATGTGCATCAAAACAGTTATAGCATTTTATTATGTTCCTGAATGCAGCAGACGTAAGTATAATTCTAGGTTATGTCATTGTAAGGCACAAGTACTGATATTTAATATCGGGGATTTTTTGATTTGCAACAGCTGCTTATATTGGAAGCAAGCATTGTCTTAGCTAAGTACGTTTCTATCTAGTGTGAATTGGTCCACCTCTGCTCTGAAGTGCGAAAGTGCCAGTTGAACCCACATATTTCGGCTGAATATCAATCGTCTTCAGCCACTTGTATAGCAATAAAGAGCGAGAATAATTCCAGAACCAATAGTAACATAATTTAAAGACGACCGCATGTAGATGCAATGTGTTTGGGTGAACCTATTTTACACGTACATACATATGTCGGTCAGTAGGTACTCGTTTCTGGTGCCCGACTCTGTTAATAATAACCAAAGCAAATAGTTAAGAAATAGTGTTTTAAAATAACCAATAACAATAAATTTGGGTATAGAAAACTTAGTGCAGTTAATGACACACTTGTCTTTTCCACATTATTCCTCGGACAACAGATGCAGAGTGGTCTGGACTGAATGAGTAGCTGCATATTCCAAATGTGGCAAACATAGTTGCAACAAAAATGTTGCTTATTCCTCTAAAGTTAACTTCAGGTTTACTCAAATATTTATTTAGGTATTTAAACTTGATATAGTCATTCTGCTTGTTTATTTTTTATAAAAAAGCTTTTAAATTAGAAGCTTTTAGGGTGGTCAATTTTTAATTTTTCAGGGCATATAAGCTCAAAAACATTTCGAAAATGTCATACACACTATAGTCCAAAAGAATCCACCCTGTATACAATGTAATTTCTAAAACATCTGATTAATATATTTTCCTGTTATTTTCAGAAAATTGGCTTGTGACATCAATGTGTTCCTGAAATGGTGTGTAAAGAAGATATATTGACATGGTTTCAGGACTTGGAAAGTTATAAAAGGATAGATATGTTATGTGAACTGATAAATATGTGTTTACCGTTTGAGTTGAGATTCGTAGGCAGTTTCCTGGAAGAAACCGGGAAGCATAGCTATCAAGCGTTACGGCAACGAGCTTTAGCTGCAAATGATTACGAGAAGCTCGAGAAGGACACTAGTTTAAAGGATCGCACTCTTTATGAGGAAAATATACGGCATTTGATGCTGATAAATGTCTCTTTGCTGAAATCGAGAAATTACAATGTGGCTAATTGGTATTCGAAAAATTTCTTAAGGACAGACTATATTGAAGAACTAGTTGTGAAAGAAAAAAACGAAATAGTGCAAAATGAACTATTGCTGTTGTATACGATGGCAACTAGACATCCTGCGTTTAGTTTTGATCAAAAACAGTTTTACAATCGTATACTAGTGCGGCTGTATGAATTACGGGATAGCAGATCTAATAAGTCTTGTACTTACAGATACCCCCCGGGATTTGAGTATCCAAGCTTTTACAGGAATAACAAGGTAATTATGGAACTCTATCAGCGTCCTGCATCTCTGCTTCCTTTTTGTCTACCCCCACACTATTTACTTTCTTTTAATCCTTTGAACTAGACAAAAACTATTTGACTCAGAAAAGATTTAAAAGCTAAAATTGAATGTCGTTAATTGATAAATCTTTGCCTAGGTTTATGAAAACACTCAAGTACCGGTCGCAATACCTATGCATCCTCCTGGACTTCCACATCAACTAGATAATATTGGTAATCTTAGGGTAGGATGGCATGGTTTGACCTGCGGAGCACCTGCAGAGGTATGTATAATCTTTGTATTTGGTGATATCGGTCTCAAAAAAGGCCCCGTGGTCGGCAATTATATTGAAGAAGTTCGGATAAAGTTTAGCTTAGCAAAAAAGCCGTGGGATCTTCTGATATCTGAATCGATTCTTAAACCGAACTCTTCTAAGGAAAAAAAATGCAAACGTATTTTCAGTCACTTGCATCTCTTTATTTAAGCCTCTACTTTTTGATGGCTGGTTAGAAGATATTTTCAAAGTTTCAGCACATCGTAAAAACTGCACGAGTTTGTTGGGAAAAATTATAATTTTTTAAATTTCAGCTCTATCACAAATTCTTCATTTGTGGGTATTTGTTTATGTCGGTATGTTTATGGAACACCCTGTATCAGGAACGCCCACATGCATGCAAATTATTATAAGTTATTCGGTGTGTGTTCGACTCATATATTCACCGATTACAAATCATATTTTTAATGCCTCCTTATCGGTGTTTCAATTTCAATTGTTCGATATACTTTGTATAATTGTTCGATAATGTTAACTTGTTTTCTCTTAAATTTATATATTCTCGACCTCAACGAATTATACTGCTTGCCAAGTCCGGGTGATTGTGAAAATTCTCAAAATCGCTCAATAAAATAGACACACGGACAAATTTCCACTAATTTTGGAAATGGATAAATTCTGATTGCTGAGAGCGATTTGATTTCAGCTTGCAGTGCATTTTTTTGGTTAGTGCGTGTTATTGCATTAGATAAAGTGTCTGCAGGGTGGCAAATGAAACAATGTAAAATTGGTGAAAGTTTCACAAGCTCTTAGTTGGACAGAAAAACGTGTTTATTTGAATTCAACACCACGAGAATTAAGATTTTTTATTTACCAAGTGGTTTTAAAAAAATCAACTTTTTGGTATTGCACTGATAATTTTGATTTTGAACCGATTAACCAAATCTAAGCCTCATATTGACGCTAGAACTTCGTAGTCGAATTCAGACAAAAACCATTAATGCGGGTCGCATGAATGATCAAAGTAACTTAACTTCTTCCCGAATTTCCCGAGTAATTTTTTATGCAATCCTGAATATTGTGTTTTCGTATGGTTTATCAAGTTTTAGCTTCAACATGAGCTCAAGCTAGTGAAAATTGGACTAAGAGCGGAAAAATTATCGCTGCTAAACCAAAAAGTTGTTTTTTTGAGACCAACCTGTCAAGCAACAAAGATATGACCGAAAAATTCGAAAACCGTTTTGAGCTATTTGGCTTATATTTAAACTTTAGGTGTTGAGATCGGTGAAAACTCTTTTCTCCAACTAGGAGCGTGCCGAACTTTTCGCAGTTTTACATTTTTTTAGTTGCCACCCTGTAGAAATTTTCTCTGAAGCACTGTTTTTTGCAAAAACACTCACTAACCAAAAAAGAGTTACACTAAATAACGCTTTCAACAGAAATAGAATCGCTCGAAGCAATCAGAATTTATCCAGGTCCAAAATTAGGGCAATTTTGGCTGTGTAGCGTTTATTTTGTTGAGCAGTTCAGATGCGTCAGGATTCTGCTTTAACATGTTTACTAATTAATTGCTGTGCTTTAAAATCTTTATAACTTTGACGGAGCTACAAATGATAAACACGTTTGGAGAAACAGAAGGTAACAAGTATATGTAAAATTATTAGTTATTCCGTTATATTAAATCTGATACATTTATGCAATAGTTCGTGGAAAAACAGCCCTTTGTAATTTGCTAGCAATTGTCTTTATTAGAAGTTTTGACGTTAAGGTACCGCCGTTTTCATCTCAACATCCTCTTCAACCTCCTCAACCCACCGCGTCTCCACTAGTCAATTCACCGAGTCAGTCGCGCTGCGGTTCACCCCGCCCTCTTACTAGGGCTCCACCGTTCCCAATGGTAGCATCGACTACACAGATAGTGAGTATCAATTTCACAATATCAGTCAACGCGCCTATATTGCAAAATATAGGGTTTGCTTTTAAATCTTTCAACTTATTTGATATTCTTTACAAAAAGTTATTGCGCTTTACTTAACAGACTTAAAAAATACAATGAAATATAAAGTATGTTATTAGAAAAAACTACTTTTTTGCGCTGCATCTTTTATGGCCGATCCCATATAATGGTGAATACTTTTAAAATATGCGCGTTTGCTATCTGCAACGCCGCTTAATTTAATTAATATCATTGGGACCTCCTGTATCCTGTATATTAAGTTGTTTTGTTAACTAGAGATTCTTCTGGAAGTAATAATGCGAATATACATAATTAATGTATGAGTTTTATGAAGATATTTTGGTCGTTTGTTTTCGGCAAATTCAGCTTATTTGTAACATGTAACATGCGTGTCCAATTTTGATTTAAATGTGAAATGTCTAACAGGTGTCCATACCATCCGGAAACCACCCCAGTGTTGGGACACCGTCCGGGCTTCCATCAACCATAACTTCTCAATTGCCATCGGTTATACCAGTGGCTTCTGTACTGCCAGGAATGCCAATTTCAATAGAATCTTTAGGTCCGCCCCCTCCAATGGGACATTCAGATCATCCCTCTCCGGTCTATGGAATGGTTAAATCGAGCAACCAACTGCACGAAACCGAAGAGGTAAGCAATGGACCAACTTGATACATGAAAAATAACTTGACTGCTTTTAGCTCAACCCCGTTTTAATCGAAGATTCGTTGCAAAAACATCCACCTCCTCTTTCGCTGAATCCGTGGATGACTAACGCCAACATTAACTCGGAGGGGAAGCAAATTAATGGATTGCGGATAGCTTCCAATTACCCTACCTCTACGAATATGCGTAGTTCGATTGCAGATCAACTGCATTCAATGTCGTTGACAGACGAAAGTTCGCATTATCATTCGTCCAGTAGCAGGTAAGTTCTACTGGATTCGTTATAATGTTTCGAGAAATTTATCTGGTTCTGCTTATTTTTCTTTTCATATTTACTGATTGGATATGCAAAGTTAGAAACAGTATACTAATAAGCCATTTGTCTTTAACTTAATCTACTACATTAAAAAACATCAAGCTCACACATCCTCTGATAGTCACTCTGTCTGTGATGCTATAGTATATCGGTTTGACATGTACTCTCTCTCACAAATTCTTGCCTTCTAAACCAGTTCGAATGGTTTAGTTCTTTTGAGTCTTCTCGGAATGACCGCATTATCCAGGAGCTTGAGTGCCTCAGGATTCACATGCTGATGGAGTCGCTGTTCATGATTATGTGCATTACTTTTACGTTATCTACTGTTTCTATACCCTACTAAGTCTTTATGTAGGTTTCCTTTTTTTATATATACGTTTGTTGGTGAAGTCGATATGGATCGATTTCTTTTCATTTAATGTGATGGGTCTTCACGGTCCAACGTTGAACCTCATCTATAGCTGCTTGGAGTTTTTCACTAGACACTAGCAACAACATTTTGATCAGCAACAGTAGCTTGACGTAATTCTTCTTCAACCCCACTCACACTGACATCATCAGAGCTTACTGGCAGATCAGATGTGTATAGTAGATACACTGCCCTGTGGAACCCCTGCTTGAATTTCTTGTAGATCAGAGAAAGCATTGTCTTGTCTGACTCTGAAGTACCGCTCAGTTACGTACGATTTCAATATTTGTGAGTATTGAACCGGAAGCAACTTTTCAAGTTTATGGATCAAGCCTTCGTGCTAGACTTTATCGAAAGCCTGTGCAACATCCAGGAATACAGCTCAGCAAATTTTCTTCTCTTCTAGCCAATTTTCTATGGAATTGACGCTTCTATGGACTTGCTTAATTGAACAGTGTTGATTCCTGAAACCGAACTGATGATCCGGGATAATCGGTTGAGCTTCAAATATTGGTTTTAGTCTTTTCAATAGAAGTTTTTCAAATAGTTTGAACATAACTGGTAGTAGTGGTATTGGACGATATGACATTGCTTCATGGGGCGGTTTTCCAGGTTTTGGAGTATGAGTACTATATTGGCCCCCCAACATCAAACTTTGCACAACACAAGTAGGTTTGCACGAAGCGGCATAAAGTGAACATTGTTTTAAATATAACTTTTTTTAATAGCTGCGAACTAGAAGCAATTGCCTTCAACTAATAGGTTTACATTATTTTTTAGTAGTCCTCTTCAAACACCTCCTGATACCCCTTCCAACATAGCGCCAGCATCTACCACATCAACTCAGTCTAATCGAGGGCCTATTGATAAATGTCGTATGAACGGAGTGCCAAACTTTTTAACTCCATTTGGAGATACGACGTCGCCGCCACCGCCACATGGATTTACTTATCCTGCGTATGCCCCAATTGCTCATGCAAGGTAGATATTGTTTAACGAATTCGTTTTTTTTGTTTTAGATTATTTCAAACACTTGGTTCAGTTAAAATGATACACGCTGATTCAACATAGGCGTCACTCGTTTTAATTGCATACTGAAAGTAGACCGAAAAATTGAAAAACGAATTTTTGTTTATTTCGCGGAAAAAATCCGTAGATTTGTAATATTGGCTGCAAAATGCTGGAAAGTGCAAAAAAGTAGATCAAAAACACAGTATTTAAATTATTTATGTAACAATAAAAAAGTATCCCCAATCATGCCATGCCATACATTTAAGGAAAGTACCTTTTTTTAATTTGGTGCCAGGCTCAAAGTTATGAATCTTTTTTATCGCGCTTTTACACCTCGGACCCTTAAACTATCATGTGCAATTGTTATATTAACCATTTTTCAAGTTTTGGTAACTTTTTTTTGTCTAAATGAGATGACAATGATGTAATTAGGTTGCAATTTATACTCATTTACATGCAAAATAACATTGCAAATTTGGATTATTAACAATTAATCCATTTAAGTGGCAGAGTAATTCTTCGATAGTGACCTTCCTTACAGGTTCTATGCATCTCCTAATTTTCGACCGCCAACAACGGTATTCAACCAGTTCCAGACTGCCACTAACCAACCTTTCCAGGGGGCTCAACCCACTGGCAGCGAAACTATTCCTCCATCATACTCCTACACCATACCTTATATCTCTTTAATGTATTCGAGTTACCCCCATCCACCCCAGGTTCCTCAACCACCAACTAATACGATACCTTTGAGGAACCAACCGCCTGGGTGTTACAATTGTGGTGCTACGGGTCATCTGGGCCAAGATTGTCCCGAACGGAACATCGACGATATCACCCAGAAAAATACATATAGGTAAGAAGAACGTAGTTTATTATGTGGCAGTAATTAGTGTTGTTTTGTATTTTTGCACAGCCGGTAGAAGAGCAAGAGGCTGCATTTAGTTCTTTAGCTTATATATTATTTTTAAAGTAATGTTTTCGGGTTAGTGCTTAGTGGTCCCGTACAGCATTTTGACAAAATTTACCTTAGATTATTACTTTGTTTAGTAGTTTGTATTAAAATTAATTATTGAAACTGGACACGCTTTTCAAAGTTGAAATACTGGTTGGCCCTGTGCGTCTCACTAATTAATTCTTTTTGCTGGAAATGATAACCTGAAGAACTTTTCTCAAATGTGTGCTGGTCGTGCTATTCAATATACAGGGTGATGGAACAAATAGGGTTTAGATGTTTTGTTTGCTAGCTCAGAACACCTCAGAAGCAATTTCCGGATGGGTTTATGGTAACAAAATGTATTGGGTGTAAAAAGGTGAATTAGTGCTTGGAAACACTTTTCGTGAAGAGGCAACTAATGATTCGATTACTATCTAGAATAATTATAATTAAGCACACAAAAATAGCCAATATAGTTAGACTGTCGGCCAAGCTAACATTATTACTATACGTAAAACAACGTGTAAAACAACGTCTGATCGGATATGAACTGAACAGATTTACTTAATAAATTCGAATAAAATTTTACATTTGAACCGCAAAAAATCATATAGTTTTATGTAGCTAGCAATTAATTGAATAAAATCCGTAACGTGAAATAATTCATTGAGATTGCAAAAATTACGCAAGAAGCAAGTAAGCACTGACCCTGCCGTTTATGTACACCTTCAAATACAGTAAAAAAAAGTTTTGTTTAGTCATACATTTAAATTAGCAGTGCAAACAAAACATGCAAATCCGTTCGTTCATTTTGCAAGGAAACTGAAATCATCACCATAATGATATCTTATTCTCACATTAATCGGGCAAGTTATTATTTATTGTTTCGTTATTCAGTAGTAAGTACTGTAGTCGAATTACTTTTTTGCCGTAACAGCGTTATATTCAGAGTGCAAATATAATCCTAATCACTGTTAATATGATTTGTCGTTATTTCAATAGTTAGTTCACCACAAGTAGTAAACTATTTTTTTGATGTATTTCGAAAAAATCTACAATTTAAATTCATCGTTTTTCTTTACTATGTGTTTACTTGAAGAAATTGCTCTACCTTTTCGAGCTGTAGAAGATGGTGTCTATGAAAATGTATTCCAAATTGTTCATATGGTCCGAATAAAGTACCTACATAACGTATTCGATGGCCATTTTAATAGCGAATTCAACGATGTATAAGACAGAAGAGATTCTACCGGTTTTTGTGTAAAAAACAATTTTTTGATGTAGTATTCTAAAGTTTTTTGGTATTTTATGATTGCTTGAGGTTCTGCAATGCCCAAAACACAACAAAAAAGATTCGACTTATCACACAAATTTCATGCATAATTCGCGAGTTCAAGTCCAGAAGCCCCCTGGTGGCTAAAATTATAACTACAAGTTAAGTAGTAATTTGACACTTGTTTTGTTGACATCTGATTGTGATTTATTTTGTTCCAATCAAGAAATAGAAACAGTTGTCAATAAAATGTCATCAACTCCAATAAATAAACAAGTCTCAACTGTCACTCGACAACGATTAATTTGACGTTTCGCAGCGTCACCATCGGTAGTTGAGCTTGCGAATTGTGTTTATGTTGGTAGTCAAATTTCGTCACTGATGACGTGCGACCAAAGTTATAGTAAAAAGAGTATATATCAAATTGATTGGATTTAATTTGCACTCTGTACTGTTTGATGTTATATGTACATAATTTTTCTATAAATTCCATGTATTTCAGCATCGATTTTAGTCCAGTTAACTCGGATAACGAGAAATGAAAAAGGGAGTACAAACCCCATAAATAGAAGGAATGTGCACATAGACCAGTGTAAATAATACCTGAGAAGGTGAGATAGACTGTTCGCATAAGATTTGAAATTTTATTAATTTTAATTGTCTATGACCAAATGTGGTTAATTCATGTGGAAGGAAGCAGGTTGGAGGGTGAGAATATATGGTTTTCTCGGTTGGCTGTGAATTCAATTGGATTGAATGATTTTCGACTACATGCAAAATTCAACTGTCTGGAATAATCAGTATTACTTTTTCAGTTGTTCGGCTTGCATATATTAAGTACGTGAATTGGGAATGTTATCGAAATGTTTCATCACGATACATATCGTATGTTACAGTTAAAGTAATATTTATGAGCTAAAGATCTAATTGAAGCTTCCGATCCAATATAAGCAACAGAATAATTATACCTACTTTGCATTATTGTTAAAATAAATACAGCTTAAATTTTAAATATGACATTTAAGACAGCCATATCACATACATGTTTTAAAGAATTGTAATCTTGTTTGTTGGTATGTATCTATTCGTTCATTACGCATCTGCAAAAATCAGTTTCTTGGGCGCAAAACATTTCTTGTCGTTATGTATGCTCACAGACGAAAATACTACTTTTGTTCACGCGAACGAAACTATATATGTATAATATTAAACGCTGTGAAAGTTAAAGGGCACTTTTTAAGAAATGATTCCTTTCCGAATTGATAATATGTACTTTATTGTATGTTAACCTTTTTTTGTGGTAAATTTAATATAAAGGGGCGTTCAAGTCGATTTTGACATGTTTGTAGCCAATCAGTTGAATTTGTTGTGAAAACGGGGGAAAACTAAATAATTTTATCCTTTCCAATTAACTTTTTAATCTCTTTTATACTTAATCAATGTTGATAAAATAAATTATTACATTTATTATATAGTTTCTTTAACCTCGCTTATGCTCTTATCTGACACAAACCTTATGGCAGTTTCGCGTTAAAGCGTAAGAATTTTTTCTGTAATTCGTATCTTTTGAGAGAGCAATAAAGGGATTTATTTACTTGCCACATTTAGTCATTTTTTATTGCTCTTGTGGCGTAAACAGTAAATGAACTATATTTAATTTTTAATGAGTTGCACTTTAAATGGTTGCAATGATTGCTAATGTTATTAATAAGTACATATGAACAAAAAAGAAAATGGAAATAACATTTCTGATTCAATACTGACCGAAAAAGTCATTGTTTTCGCCCCAAGCATCGAGTTGGCAATAAAAATGGATTTTACCACAGGCTCCCTGTACTATAGAGTAAAAACCCTTTTTTATTTATTGCTGTGATTGGGGAGCATAATCTGTTTTTAATTGATGTCCAGCTTTAATTAGTGTCTATTTAATATATGTTTTCGATAATGTCGTTCAGTTTTAGTCGATTCAATGAACTAATGATTTGAAACTGATTGGTTAGTTTTAAATGATGGTGAAAATTGTTTGTCATTAAAGATAATTGTATTTGTTAGTGTAGTGTATTTTTATTTAGTACGTCGTATTGGTCGGTTTTCAGCATTACACACGATTTGCAGTATGTACAAACCCACTTTTCCGTTTTTTCTTGGTTAATAAAATTTATCTTACCAAAAATTAAACCACATACAATTATTGTATGATTACAAATTGCGCGTAAAGCTTGGTTCTCATGGGTCCGGAATGTTTTGCGGAAAAATTCACGCAGTTATTATTATTAGCGTGTATTCCGATTATTTTTCCGCATTCCGCCGACAGTGTTGGCATATCTTTCGGGAAGCGTGACACGAAACAACTCTTTTCTACATTTTTTCCTGCCAGTATTTTGAGGCGCATGAAATGAACGTTGGAAACCAAAAGTTAAATCTGCTTTTGTCTTTGTAAGTTCTAAAAAGAAGGAAACAAAGACATCAAAATGAAAGACTGTCGAATAGACGCCCCTCAACATAACCCTTCACTGGAGATAACCTAGGTTTTCACATTCTTAGCAAATACATATTAAAATTTGGGCGGAGCTAACGCATCCGACAAACTTCTGATTGGTCGGAAGGGTTTTCGCATTCCGGACTAATGAGAACCCAGCTTTAGATCAGAGTTGTGTCTTGATTAAATAATTACTAACAATTGATTCAATAAAACATTTTGCTAAAGAAGCATCAGTTACAGTCAATTAGCCTTTGAAATTCGTCTGTTTATATTTACCTAGTTTCATATTGCCTATGCGCAATTTTCAAAAATAAATACACATTTTGTGAAGAAGTTTTAGAGGAACTACAGAAGGATTTTATCAACATGTAGTGCTGGACATTCAGGTTTTAAACCAGAATTTAATTGCAAAATGCTATTTGCTGAAAATGGTTTAAATTGTAGAGCGCAACCTGCAAATCTTAAGAACAACATATTTTTCGTTCTATGAATTTCTAAGCTACAACCCCCATACGATATTTACGCATTCGTCACAATGTTTTATTTAGGTAGTTTATACATATAGATATTTTAAATTCTATTTGGCAACATACCCATTAAAGCTTTATGTTATCGGAATCTCAAAGCGTAAACTAATTTACTTTTATGCCATGGCATCTATTTAATTATTTGAATTATGGTATAGGAGTAAAAGCAAAGTTTAACATAATAGACTTTTAATACCTACTAAAGTACTGTTCAAGAAATGCATCTTTATAGTTACTTTGCAAGACTAATTTTTAATGTCCTAGAAAGTAAAATATAGCAAACCATTATCACACCTTAATATAGAAAATAATGTTTTATCGAATATCAAATGTAGTTTGTTGACTCATTTTTGGAAAAATAAAATTAGTAACTCACTTTACATTTGATGGCCATCCGATTTTTTGGGTATCGTTGAAGGATTAAATTGCCATACACGTTATTTCATTTATTTATTTTGTTGTGAATTTTGTTACTTTTTATGTCAATATTGTCAAATTATGTAGGCTAATGAACTAGGGAACGGTTCTATCACTTTTATGTATATCTTGATTTTTGAGCAAGAGTGAGCAATAAACGTACCCGTGGCAAGTGTCTCCTTCCGAATCCTAGGGATATCTAGGATGTACCTAAGCTGTTTTGAAAACAGTTTCAACTAAAAATAATTTATTTATAATTATTACCCATTACAATAATTGTTCTAAGAGTGTATCTGAGTTGATCAGGCATGCAATGAAAAACGATTTCTTGAACATTATGAAAAAGTGATACAACCGAGTTGAAAAAAACAAAACAGATTTTCCAAGCCATATTACGATTTCGTCTGCTAGTAAATAGTTTTATATATTTTTCTAACAACTCTCGCATTTTGTGATATTGATAATCAGTTGTTGTGCAGTCTAGAGAAAATTAAATATCTACGTACTCGAAGCAATATTAATGTGTTTGTACAGCTAGGTGAATACAATACAGTCAATAAGGCTGGGGAATCTGCTTTGAATTCTCTGTACATTATCAAGATTCTACTGTACATAATGACTAATTCAAGTTAATATTTAAATATTGATATATTTATAATACAATCAGTATGACTGACAGATAACTTAAATTGAGATTAATAAAAGATTTTTTATTAAACCAAAAATTGTTTTATTTAAGAATCAACACTATTTTTGTATTAAATATAATTAGGTAGGTTAAATTAACTCCAATAAACAGATGCAAAAATCGATACAATATCTATCTAAGGGAAGCCATCGTCATCCTCTTCTGCCATCTCTTTGGCCAGTTCGAGGTCTTGGGCTTCCCTTTCGCGTCTTTCTTCTGCACTTTCCAACTCTTTGCCATATGCTTTCGGGGGATATCTATAAAAGCATGTGTGTTTCATCCGATTAAAAATCTATATAATATTCATGTCGCGCTTACCGCATAGCTTTCACACTCTGATTATGCAAGTCAAGACAAAACGATATTCGTTGGTGAAACGCCATTTGCGGTTCTTTAGTGCAATATATGTCGGTGCTCTCCTTACTCCTCATGTAGCCTGTTGAAATGATTGCAATTCTCAATGCACGAATTTTGTGAGGAAATCATACATACCACCTTCAGGATCCAGAGTAGCTTCGATTACGCCATCTCTAATTGCCTTGGCCACAATAAATTCCGCATCCTCGGTCGAATCCAGACCCAACTTTCTGGCAATATCTTGAGGGGAAATTCTCGAATAGGATAATCCAATACTTCGGATGGCTGTTTTAATTACATTATGGCGCAATCGCAGGATCAAAGTATATGTGTGATCTTGTCTGAACTGAGGTCCAAAATTCTCCAGAACTTCTCCAAAGCGGTGAAGATTGCCCATACGAACAGCTTGGGTCAATTGGAAGTACGGGGCAAGTGAGTGACGCATAGAAGCTTGTCTACAACAACAAAAATCAGGTAAATAATGTGTGATAACGCCCCTTGTAGGTGATTTTCAGATGGGTAGGAAAAACAAGGAGAACGAACGAATCTCGCAGCAGCTTCGCAGGTCAACGCATTCAAAACACCGAAATCAAAGAAAAGAGTCAGAAAGTCAACCATCAACTCAACGGCCGCCAACCCTAAAACACCCAACACGAGAGGCCAAAGACTTAAGCCTGTGTCCCATGCATCCGTTTATACGATGATACGAAAGTGTTTCTATTGGTTGGAGATCTGTCAATTCGTCCGCCGTCTTACGAACAATAGAAACACTTTCGTATCATCGTACCATCGTATAAACGGATGCATGGGACACAGGCTTTACACTCTGGTAGGCATACACATGCCTCCCCAAATTTATCGGTGTCATTTTTTTGTCTATCAGTGTTGGTAATGTTTTGCATCTAAGACTAAGAATCTTACCTGAATATTTGCCGCTCAGGTATATCTCCCAGCAGCAATTCGACAACAACCAGCAGCTTTTGAACAGTCTGCCTGAAGCCAACTGCAGTATTTTGGGGTGCCTTCCTCATAGCCTGCACTAGATGTTTATAGGCAACACTGTATTCCAGCCTAGCAGCTTTAATTCGACCTAAATAATACAAAAAGCGGGCCCACTCATTGTTACTGGCTGTTTCAGGAAAAACACATTTTGAAACCAACTTGTCGGCTTGATCATATAAGGAATAGTGAAGATAATTTCTCAACAGACAGTTAATTAAAACAGCCTGTCCTTCGAAATCATTACGAAGAGTCGCTGTACGTAGTCTAGCATGAAGAAAAGCTCGGATTGTATCCAACCTGTAAATTTAATTAGTTTTATGCAATAATTGATCTGTGTTGGCATATTATACTTTTCTGTTAACTCAGCCACTCTTGAATGATAAAAATAACATTTAGCTGCTACCAAGTCGATTGTTCTACGATTCTGACTAGTAATTTTGAGCATCAATGCCTGAGAACATCGGGAAGCTTCTTCTAATTTATTTGTATCTACCAATCTAACCAAGATTAGCAGGTGAATGTACGCATCCACTTCTGGAACAGGACTCTTAGTTGCAGAACGTGTTCTGGTTTGAGAACTGTCCAATTCTCCTGTAGCCTCCTCCACAAATGTTAATAACACTTCTCTGTCTGCAACCGGGTATATTTGGACTATTAAGCTCCTCAGAACTACACCACTTAGCTTCCTTCGTGTATTAGGCAAACACCTATAAAGATACCACAATTAAGAGGGCGGTTAAACTATATATATTGTTATTAACTTGTTACAGTAAAGATAATAAAAATAGCGAAAAAAAAATAGTTGCCACTAGAAAAAGATTACTTAAGTGATATCAACCAATTAAATCAACGTTGTTACCCTGTATCTGTACCTGTTACCAATTTGTCCTGATCTGGGATTAAACATTTTATTATTTTTTGTCGGTAAATAACAACTTAACAATATCAAATATATTCAGCTGTTATGTTAGTCCACCAAAAGATAAAAATTATTGATTGTTTAATTAATAACTTCACACATATTAAATACTTGAACATTTTCCGTTGAAACTAACGTTTTAACGACAGGAAAAACTTCACATACTTTGGGTTAGTAGTCTTTTTGCAGATCCAATATAGTTGTTACAGTAAACTTCGATGTAATCGGTCTTTATAATGATGGGCTCAATAAACACCCGGAGAAAATATTCACATATAAACACATACATATTTTAAATTCACACTGAATAATAGGATATGAACAAATTTCTTTCTAAGGGGACAGACCTCTGAACCAAACAGTGCTGCAGAAATGCATCGCATGCTTTAGACCAAAACTTTCTATGAATGTATGTTAACGAAATAAATTGTGGTGTTAATAAGATTAAGTAAAGTAGATTACCTTAGGATTCTAAGAATAAAACGGCTTTCCTTGCTGGAGACTGCCTTTTCGATTTGCCTGGCATGTTCCCTGATTTCCTGTAAATTCTGCAAATCGGCGTCTCTCTTGCTGTCCCCAGCCTCAGGCCCGGCAGGGCTGTCGGCACTTTTCATTTCCACATCAGTGTCGACTAACACCATCGTATCCTTTAAAAACCTGAATGAATTTGCAAAATGAAATTCCAAAAACAAAGCTTTCACTCTGATAGCAGGGTTAACTGTCAAATTTTGTCTTGTAATGGTCAGTCAGCAATGTTGCAAACCTTGTCATTAACGTCAGTTATATGCACAGATCACAGAGGATACTCTCTTTGATCTGTGGCCCTTTGAATATAAAACTACTTTAGTTTTATATTAAATACAAATTCTTTTTTTCCCTGATGCTGCGCGCTTGCATCCCTAAGTCTATTTTCTGTGTCCAGCAGCACCCAGCAAATATGATGTTACTTCCGTAGATGTGAATTATAAAAATAAAATATAACTTTACACAATTTATACATTTCATATGGATAAATTGTGTGAGGTCGTTCTGTAGTGATGTATACTGCTTCATATGTCTTAAATTTCATCATCATTCAATTCAGGGCGTTTATTCTCGTGCGTTAACGTAAGCACACCCGGGGAAGTTTTGTATTGCCGATTGCCTAAAATCGGTGAAAAGCAAATTCGATATTCACAAGCCTATTTCTGTATCACAGATTACCAAAATCTTGATTCTGTGTTTGCACATAATAATAAGATTTTTTCATATGTGAAATGTCACTCGCTTGGTCTAGGTCTAGACTTAAGAATTTGCACTCACACCGATTTTAGGCAATCGGCAATACACAAATTCCCCGGGAGTGCTCACGAACACGCATGAAAATAAAGGTCATGAACTCTGAACCACAGAACATAACCTCAAATTATTCATGTCTTCTAACATATTTACAAGTAGAGAAATCGAAAAACTGTAACAAAAATGTTAAAATCCAACACTATTATTTTCTCATGTATTATACTGCTTTCACTAATAGCGACATGTCTTTGTCAACATGGGCATTTGCATGACCACGAACATCATGAACACGAACATCATGATCACGATCATCATGATCACAGTGAAGATCCAGCATTTAAATACTCACAGGCAGCAAACGAGCAAGCCAAAAAACAGAGAGAATCAACAGATCATGCAAAACCAAAGACGCACACATGGAACACTAATGAGTTGTGGTTCTATGCCATGGGCTCTACATTTATTATCAGTGCTGCCCCGTTTTTGATTTTGTTTTTAGGTAAGTAACTGATGAATTAATTTTATTTTTCATGTGTAGTTTTTACGTTTTTTTTCTTAGTTCCTCTTAATAATGCTGACAAGGATGCACCTTTATTGAAAATATTATTGGCGTTTGCATCTGGAGGACTGCTTGGAGATGCCTTCCTGCATTTGATACCCCACGCTGCGCTAGCAGTAGCAGAACATGAAGCTGAACATGGTCATAGTCATGGCCATAGCCATGGTAGTGGAGATGAGGCAGAACATGTGCATGATATGTCAGTAAGTCATACGAGCTTCAAATATTAATTTGCTTCTTTCTGATGTATGATATTCTTTTAGGTTGGACTTTGGGTGCTGGCCGGCATTGTTGCATTTTTGGTAGTTGAAAAAATTGTAAGAATATTGAAGGGTGGCGGGCACGGCCATTCTCATGCACCTTCGAAAGGAAAAGACAAGGATTCCAAGAAAAGCACTGGCAACAAACAGGATAAAAGTGGCAAGCCTGAAACCGAAATTACAGGTAATATTGAAAGACGAGTCTCCTCTTTGTCGTCCTTTCAACACAATTTTCTTCAGGATCAGTTCAAGTTCGGAACATTTTCTCTGGCCAGTTCTAAGCGAGACGAAATTAAAGCGCTTAATATAGTTATTAAAACTCACACTTTGTTATCCAATATGACAACGTTATTTTAAACATCACTCTTGTTTCTAGGAGAAAATTCAACCGGCGAAATGAAGGTTACTGGATACCTAAACCTCGCAGCAGATTTTAGCCACAATTTCACAGATGGTTTGGCTATTGGTTCTTCTTATTTGGCAGGAAACACTGTTGGCATAGTCACGACCATTACAATATTGTTGCACGAAGTTCCACACGAAATTGGTGATTTTGCCATTCTGCTGCAAAGTGGAGTATCTAGAAGGAATGCTATGCTGTTGCAATTATCTACCGCTCTAGGCGCAGTTGCAGGTAAATATCTATTTTGTTTTGTACGCCACAATATTATTTAATGTACCTAGAAGTAAAGCCCGTGTCCCATGCATCCGTTTGTACGATGATACGAAGGTGTTTCTATTGGTTGGAGACCTGTCAATTCGTCCGTCGTCGTTCGAACTTACAGATATCAACCAACCAATAGAAACACTCGTATAAACGGATGCATGGGATACGGGTTTCTATTGGTTGGAGATCTGTCAATTCGTCCGTCGTCGTTCGAACTTACAGATATCAACCAACCAATAGAAACACTTTCGTATAATCGTATAAACGGATGCATGGGACACGGGCTTTACTTCTAGTTTTCCGCGCTCGCCGTAACATCAAGAATATGTCTCTGCAATGCTAATTCATTCTGTAATGCTGTTTCTGTTTTAGGAACCGCAATATCTCTGTTTGCCCAAAACAGTGCTGGAGCTATGGCTGCATCTTGGGTTCTTCCATTCACTGCGGGAGGCTTTATTTACATAGCGCTAGTATCTGTGATTCCTGAATTACTCGATGAAAAAAACCCTACTATTAAACATAGTCTGTTGCAAATATTTTCAATGTTGTTTGGCGTTGGAATGATGGTGTTAGTTGCTGAATTTGAATGAGTGTGAAGTTAATGTATGCAGGTTTTAATTTCCACCAAGAGAAATGATCACTTTTTGATTAAATTATTATATTATAGAATGTACAAGGTCTCAGCTTGAGATAGACAATTGTTTCTACACTATTTTTGTAACATTTTTATGTAACTTTATTTGAAATAGCAGCAATGCGTTGATTATTATCTAATAGTTTTATCTAAAGCTTTAARAACTTWAATTTTTTACTATACATCGTTTAGAGAATAGATTGTATGCAATGTAATGTTTGAATTTTTTATCCGCCAYTTTGTTTCAAACRAAAACTGCATMAAATTTACATTAAAATATYTAATTTATTGTGATGAATCTTAAAAGTTSCGCACTGAAACCGTTAAAATATTTATTAATATCAATTKAMAGTGCAATTTTWMSTRART